ACATGTACTTGGCTGTCCTAACGGATGCCACCTGCTAAAAATAGCACCAGCACATGCTTGGCCGAGTGGGCCACACCAAAATCAAAGGACAAAGCAAGGAGGTTATTCTCAGCCCTGCCTTTCTTCCCAGAGACAGTTCAAGGCACACATAGGTGTCCGTCTCCCTCCAATGCAGCTCAAGGAATGGAAGTCACTCCGCTGCTCTGTCGGAGGGGCATGTACAGAAGATGTACAGGAGGCGATATATAGAAGCCTGGACCGCTCCCCATGATATGTGGTTCCTGGACCTCACAAAGGCACACGAAGGCCAAAGCTGGAGAGCAGGGGGTGGAGCCAGGGGCTGTGCTTGAACAGATCTGTTGCCTCCTCCAACCAGGACCAGGCTGCTCCTGGGTAACAGCCTGTTGAGGGCCAGGGGATGGTCTCATGACCTCCATGTGAGGTCTGACAGGCCATGTTATTATTAGCTGGGCAATGAGTGAGTTCAAGGTTGTCTTTTCAACCTGCTGAGATTCAAAGCAGTTTCTCGGACCCTATGACACAGCTACCTAGTCTATGAGGCTTTTTTATTCGTGATCCTTCCTTGGGCATTTCAAGTGTGCATTTGCCTGATGGCAAATAGGAAAATAGGGCTTTTGAAAGACAACAGTTAGAGCAGATCATGAACTTCAGTCTCCTATAAAATGGGTTATAAGAGTAACTCCCTCACAGGACTTACAGACCCAGTTTTTGGGATAAATGGTTTTAATCTCATAAACCCAGGTTCATTTTCAGGGTGAGGATGGAGTGATAATGGGGCAGTAAAAAAGAAACAGCCTCTGGGCATGGCTTACAGGGAAGAGAAATAAGGGAGAGGAGAAAAGGGGAAGGAAGAGACAGAGGAGAGGGAGGGATGCCTTGACCCAGACCCAAAGTTGGCCCAGGCCTCCCAGTGTCCTGACATCAGTATACCCTCATCAGGGTCTCAGTTTCCTCATTCACAAACTATAGACATTTAACCTCATAGTACTGAGGATAACTTGGCACAGTTAAAACCTCCCAGGTGGGTGCCAAGCTGTATACCTGTGGATCTAGGTACTCTGGAAGCTAAGGAAACTGGATCACTTGAGTCCAGGAGTTCTAGGACAGCCTGGGCAACACAGTAAGACCCATCTTAAAAATAAAAGTTGGGCATGGTGGTTACACCTCTAATCCTAGCACTCAGGGAGGCTGAGGCAAGAGAACTGCAAGTTTGAACCCAGCCTGTGCAACCTGGCAAGAACCTTTCTCAAAATAAAAGTAAAAGAGCTAGGGATATAGTCCAAAGAGCTAGGGATGTAGTCTAAGACCCTGCATTCAATTCCTCAGTGTCAGTAAATAATCCTTCTTAGATGCCAGTAGGTGCTCAGTAAGTGACTATAACACATCTATTACATCTGGCTCCAAGAAAAGAGGTTTCACCCTACCTGCCAAAAGCCAGTCCAAGGGTTCAAATAAAGTACACCTAGGGCTGGATGAGAAACCATCTAGAATAACCCCACTTCCCCGTGGTTACCCTACACCAACACTTTAAGATCTACACTGTGGCTCCTTTAAACGACCTCCCAACATTTAACAGAGGGCCTATCCTGGGGTCTTGTAGGGTCGTTAGGTCAAGCTAGTGACAGCTGACATTTGGAGACCAAGGACCATTACCGTTAACAAGCACACTTAAGATAATAACCAGGGCTTAGGGTTTGGCCTTCTGCTTCATGCTTGTGTCCCCCATACCACTCGGTAAGCTTCTCTCCCAAACTGTTTCATAACTGATCATTCCCATCCCAACTGCAGACCAGAACTTACTTCTTAACAGGCTATTAAGAGCTGATATAAAAACAAATAATTTGTTACCAAGGCTGTTGGGTTTATAAATGATGGAAGACTAAGTCCAAACATGTGATGCTCTGGAGATTTACAAGTTGAAGCAATTAAACTTTTAGAGTTGGGCAAAGAACTGTCCAACCAGTGCTAGACCAGCAACTGTCCAACAATTTTCTGTGACAATAATATTCTTATCAGTGCTGTCCAGTATGGCAGCCCAAATACACTCCCCCCAGTAGGCCCCCAGGAGCATAAGCTGAGTGCTTTAAATGTCCACCAACCCTCCTTTGCAGCTGAAGAAACCAGGACCTCTGGGGGCCACCTGGCCTGCCTAGACTCACAGCCAGGTTTCAGCCCTGAGAACTGCACCAAGCCCAGGGTACTTCTTGCAAGCACAGCCCAGCAATGAGACAAGCCCCATCGGTCCTAAGCTCTGCACAGGTTCACTTCCAGAACACATCTTGGGAACCTGCTTTGTTCCCAAGTGTGAAAGGGCCACAGTGACACAAGGCAAAGTGAACAACACAGCCAGCCAGGAGTACAGGATGGGAAACAGAATGTTAACTACCAAAGGCTACAGACTACCAGACCACTGGCAAGACGAGTGGCAGAGATGCCCAGATGACAAGCACCTAGACTGAATGAAACTTGGCACCACCATTTAGGAGGAAAGTCAAGGAAAAATACACCCTAAAAGCTACCTATTACTAGGAAGCTAGTCCTCAGAATGCTGATTATACTCACTCCTCCACTGCAACAATCTGCTTAGAAAGCAGCACAAAGGCTAGGAGAAGAGGCCAAGGAATTAAGAATTTTCCTCAGTTGTCCTCACAAAAGCCCGCTAGGACCTAACCCAAGGCTGCTGGTGAGTTTCTCCACCTCTCAATTTGTATTTTTGTTCCCGCCATTGAAAATGTGGAATGACCTCCCAGCTTCACCCTCAGCTGCACTCAGAGGTGCAAGGATTAAAGGATTAAGGAGGTGCTTGCTTGCTCACTGCTCACCCAGCACAAGAACTATGAAGGAAGAGGCAGCCTCTAAATTTGTCCACACAACCCCAGGAGCTACTACTTTAGCCAGACTCTGCCCTGCTCCAAACATGCTCATCGACTGTGCCTTCCACTGCCCAGGTTTAAAATGTACTGCAGCCGGTCGTAGTGGCATACACCTGTAATCCCAGCACTTCGGAGGCTGAGGTGGGAGGATCACTGTGAGTTCAAGGCCAGCCTGGGCTACAAAGTGAGTTCAACACCAGCCTGAACTGCATAGAGAAACTCTGTCTCAAAAAAAAAAAAAAAAGAAAAAATGAGGTACTAGGGCCACCCAGTTCACTGAGTGGGGTACCACATCCTGATGCTCATTAAGTGGACCTGCATGAGGTATCACACCAGGAAGGGATGTGGAAGAAACAGAAACTTTGTCCCAGGAGCAGTTTAGGACTAATACACCCCTCGCTATGAAGATTAACAACTGTCAAACAGTCTGAGATCATTTCAGTGAAACCAGAGTCCCACAGAACCCAGCACACCCCATAGCAGAGGAAACTTGCTCAGAATGAGCCGAAGGTATTAACCCACACCAGAACAACTGTTAACTTCCCCACACCAGAGAGACAGTCTGAGCTGCTGCAGGCCCGGGCATCCTAGACTCAGCGGCACTTTTGGAAGGAGTGGCTGGGAAAAACAGGCCAGCTCTCCAGGCACGTGGGCTAAGCGCTGCCACCTTCAAAGCTCTAAAATGCCCACATGAGCAAGATATACTGAGCCATGAGGCTAGCCTGCGAAGTGTGGGGAAACCAATTTGTCTCTCCTTTCCTTCCAATGAAGTTTCTAGGTCAGAGGCTAGAGGGAGGGGTACTTTTAATAAAATTCAAATCTCTCAAGTGATTCCAGTGCAATTTAAGACTCTTGAGATTCCTTGGGGGAAGAGAAGAGAAACAATGCGTAAGCACCTATCATGCACCAGACACAGTCCCTGGTCTCACAAATTCGATCTCCATCTGTCTTTAGGAAAGGAAAGGGAACACTGGAAACTAGAACTACCTTGCCCCACAAACTATAGCTAGACCAGCCTGGTCCAAGCCCAAGAATAACCTGGGTTACCTGCTAGCAAGACAAACCGCTTTAAAACATTAATGTTCAGCAACCTTACACTGGAGACATACCAACTTCAGCACCAGAGCAGATACTGCCAATGTCACCTGCAGTGACCAAGTGTGAATGCACTTCCAGAAATAGCAGGGGCACAGAAGACGCTCCTAGTACAAGGGACCTCTGCAGAAATTCACTATACCTGTCCCATTCCCAGGTCAGTAGCAGTTAACAGAACACGCATGACAACGGAGCCTATTTAACCCGGTAACCAGTAGTGACTCGCATACCGGTAGGACACAAAGGACCTCCTCTAGTATAGGGCCATATTTTACATGACTACTCCCAAGAATTATTACTCTGAACTAACGAAACTGGTTAGAGATGAGACAAGAAAGACTCAACACAAGTCAAAAAGCCCCCAGAACAAAACTTGTTTTCAGTGCTCAGAAATCTTAAATAACCAGCAGGTGAACCACCAAAAACAGAAGAATCAGGTAAGTGATCAAGTCATTCAGCCCTCTTTATTGCAAAGGTGATCTGCACCTTTAAGAGCAGAATGGCTGGGTGGTGCTAAAGAGTCCAAGCTTGGCCTTCTAAATAAAGTGAAGAGTTTTTTAAAAATACTAATTTGAGAAGGAGTTCGTACAAAGTATTAATCACCAGAAATAATCATTGCAACATGGGGGCGGTGGAGGGAATAAGGTAACAAACCAACTAATAGACAGACATGGTGGCGCCAGGTCCAGCCACCCAGATTTCACTGCAGGAGATAAATTTAAACAAGTAGCCTGCACTTCAGTAGAAGAAAGGCAGTTTCAACCTCCCTAATTGCCCTTGCACATATACGCTACCCCACCCGGCTTCAGAGGCCTCCAGTCCCACCTGGAGCGAAGTCCACCAGGTTTGTGTTAACCGCAGCGCAGGGACAGTAAGGGGTCTGAGCCCCGTGCATCTCCGAAAGCGAGGACAGTCCCGCACTGCCCAGAACTTCCCTGCAGTCCCTGGTGACTTCTGGAACAACCTTCCACCACTAGCGCTTTTCCTCTCCTATTCCCTGGGATAAGGAAACAGGAAGAACGTAACCTGGGGCACTACATAACTGAAACTATTTAGCCCGCCTCTTAAGTGTCCAGCCCCGTGGCCTCTGAGAGCACATTTTTAACCCACACCCCAGAAGGGTGCGTGGTTTCTCCAGATCTCCGGCCTGAGGCGGGGTGGGGGTGGGGTGCACGTGACCCTAGGCGCCCCCAGGCGGGAGGATGGGTAGGGAGAAGGCTTGAAGTTAACAAGGCACCTCAAGCTGGACAACCTCTACTTCTGCCAACGCTGTTTCCTCTCGACACGGCGTAGCCCTGGACCTCCGGACGCGAACTTGGTTTGATCGCTCCTCCGCCCCACACACCGTTCGGATCACAGCCGGCCTCCCAACGCATCCTCCCGGCTCCGGCCGCCCGCCGAGTCTCCCCACGTTCTCCGCAGGGAACTCCAGCGGTTTGGAGAGCTTGCCTCCATCAGGCTTGCCACCATCGCCGGGGCCACCCGGGGCGAGCCCACGGGGCCCAGAAGTTAGAAGAGGACCCGAAGGACCCAAGAAACTCCCCTTCCTCAGCGGGAGAGGGGGTTCCCGCGGGGCCTGGGGGACCTCCTCGCCCTCGGAGCACCCGGCCCTGCCTACGCCCGCCCCGCCGCCGCCTCGCCCGTCCGGGCTCCGACTGGGTACACACGACCTTTGAAAAGTAAACGCGAGCGGGGCTGGGCGACCTTGGGTGGGACGCGCTGAGGTCCCAGCTACCGGCGGGGTGCGTGCGCGGGGAAAGTTCGGGCGCCCAGGGGCTCCCGGGTGCGGCGTCCTCGCTCCCGCCGCCGAGGACGGCGCCGCGCGCGGGGCAAGCCCGCACACCCGACCTGTC